CTGAGTTCTAGTGATCACAAAAAAGTTTTCGCAAAAAATGAAATTCGAAGAGTCAAACACCCAAGAGTACGTTGAAATGACGTTTTCTCACGAGTGATGATATTCGCGTTTCTACCAAGTTCGTTATTACTTCGGGGGAAAAAGTGTGACTTATTTTGCAACACCCCTTATGTATTTGTGAAAAAATAATGCAACATAATTTCTAATCTTCTGTTGGGCGATAAAATACTACTATGTGTCGACAATAATTGTGACTATTAGAAATATCAACTTTCATCTTTCCAAAACTTGTAATGAATACATCTTTAGTCAGATATATTCGGGTAAATTTGTTTCTAAATTTTAGTGTAGTCACGGCAATATTGGAAGTTGAATGTACGGAAAGTCACAAACTTGAACTAATCCTCTATCTCAAACAAATGAAGATTCGGGAAGTATTCCTCATCTTGAATAGTTGATAAATGGAAACAACGTTGAACAAGATGATTGCATTAATTCAGAGCTTGTTACAAAATTTGGAAGTTTAAAGAACGATAAGGCTCCTGGACCAGATAATATTTTCTCGAAGGTTTTGAAGGAGGTTAAGGATTAGATATGTGAGCCACTTGCTACTTTTGTTTTGTAAATTCTTGAATAGTGGGCAGGTGCCAGAGGATTGGAAGTTGGCTAGTGTTACTCCTCTTTTCAAGGGAGGTGATAAAAATTGTCCGAGTAATTATAGGTCTATTAGTCTTACATTAGTTTGGGAAAAGTTCTGAAAGTCTGATAAATATACTTTGCAAAGTCATTTAACAAAGTTTAGAATTTTATTGAATAGTCACATGGTTTTACTAAGGGAAAATTTTGCCTGTCAAATCTTTGACATTTTTTTAAAAATGTTACTGCTTAGTAGGTGAGAGTAAATGTGTAAATTTGGTGTATCTAGATTTTCAGAAAGCATTTGACAAAGTGCCACATAAAAGGTTTGTTAAGTAATTAACTTTGTAAGTGTGTGGTCATTGGATAGATAATTGGCTGGATTGAAAAACAGCATAGGGCTTTTATAAATGGAGTTTAGTCAAACTAGATTAATGTCACACGTGGGTTATCTCAGGGCTCAGTCTTAGGATCTTTGCTATTTTTGATTTACATCAATGACATAGATGAAAGAATGATCAATAAATTACTTAAGTTTGCTTATGATATTAAGGTCTTGAGTGTTGCTAGCTGTGAAGAGGATGCTGCTGTTTTACAAAAGGATTTAGATCATTTAGTGAGTTGGGCAAAGAAATGACAGATGGGTTTTAATTATAATAAATGAATGATAATGCATGTGGGTTATCATAATTTGAGTTATAAGTATAATTTGGATGGGAAAACCCTAACAGTGTCATGAAAAAAGGGATCTTGATGTAATGGTTGATCACTCTTAAGCTATCCAAGCAGTTTACTGTTGCCAGTGGTAGATCAAATAGGATTTTAGGTTGTATCTACAGAAATAATGAATACAAGTTTAAAGAGGTTATAATTTCATTGTACAGGTCACTGTTTAGGCCACATTTGGAACATTGTGCTCAGTCTTGGGCTCCCTACTATAGGAAGGACATTGAATTGTTGGAAAGGGTTCAGAGCAAGGTGACTAGAATGGCGCCTGGAATTGAAGGGTTGTCATATGAGAAGGGATTATGATCTCTGAAAGGAACTGATACTGTTGATACATCATATTTTCTCATACTTAACAGTGAGAATAGTAGGACTAGGGAACACAAATATAAATTTGGGCAAAGTAGAAGTCATCCTCAGTTAAGACAGTTTTATTTTCCTAACAGGTGGTTGGCCTCTCGAATGGATTGCCTTCTGATGTTGTGGAGGCAGTAAATTTAAGTGAATTCAATAGAAAGCTTGATAACTATTGAACGATAAGGGCTGACTAAGATTTATTTATTTAGCCAATTAACTGCGGTTGCTCTAAACTCGAGTGGAATGTTTGTAAGCCGTACACTCGTGTTCAACTGCCGGAGGCGGACCGTACCCTATATGGCGAATCAGCAGTTAATGAGTTAACAGTTTTAGTTTATTTTAGAGGAAGGGACAGCTCTCTGCCGCCGGCACACTATTTGTCGTCAAGTTAATAATGCGCATGCGCGGTTTTTTTTCAGGAAACATTCTAACTATGCATGCTTATGCAGTAGGTTCTCGGTCAGAAAGCGTAACGGTCGTGCATACAAACAAACAGGATAATAGTATAGATTTATTAGAAATAATACTTGTTATGTTTAATTCAATAAACACGATTGACAGTCGAGTGAATTTTGTGAATCATAATTCATAAAGTTTTTCAATCAATTAATTTTCCCAACCTCTACAACTTTCTGTTTTTGGCACTCAGTATTTGTAAATCAATGGTAGAGAGAGAAAATCTGTTATTATTATTTCTGACAGATTTGTACCTTAAAGCTAGGAGAAGTATAGAATTTTCGTGAAATCTGCCTAAATTTTTGTTCCCAAATTTTGAAAAATTTCCCGCTCATGTTTTCGCGACACTGCCTTTTTATACGAAAATTATGTACCAATTAGTTTTCTTATTAGCACTAGTACATTTGGAAAGGGCTCAATTTCTTAAGTTTCGGGTTTATTTCAAAATGAGGTGTAGTATTCATGATATTCATTTTTTCTGGAACAATTTAAAAAAATAATGTAATAAGGGGAATTCATTCAATGATGTTGCATTTATTGTATATTTAAATGCGACACAAAGTGAAATATTAAATGATGGATGTTACTTACCTTAAAAAGGAACAAGGAAAGTATAATTTCCGGGTTTCCCCATAAAACATAATTATAAAACCAATCAGCAACATACTACTTATATGCGTCCAAACTTCTGTGAGCGTTCAATGACTCACCAGTATACTAAAACAGATTTTTCATTAAACTGTTCATGTTTAGGTATTGAAGGCTGGTCTGGCACTTGTCTGGTCGTAACGATAATGTTTGTAGTAAACTCTATGACTCAGATAACCCATTAAGAGTTAATTTAGCAATATATCTATTCTTAAGTATTTCATCTAAAGTTTTTCGAGATGAAATAGGATACAAGTACTTTTATTTATTTGCAGCAAAATGTGAGTTTAATATTTCCTCATCCATGATTAGAGCTTCGAATATGACTTGCAATACGACGTCTAAACTTTGGATGACGTCATATATATTATGTATCTGGAAAAACCCCAATAGTTGTTTGGTCGTATTTATGCATTATTCTTTCCTGTAATTAGAACACACACCTTTTTCAGAAATGACGCAGACTTGTACATGTCAGTGCAGGTTGGTGGTCTATATTCCTTAATATATATATATATATATATATATATATATA